CTAGTCAGGGGCAGGGGCAGGCCAGGCTTTCAACTCCCATAAAGAGCCGCAGCCTCATGCTCACAACGGCAGTTCTATCTTACCCTGTAGGGTCACGACGAGTCGGAATGGACGTCATGGCATTGAGTGTTTTGTTCTGTTGGTGTTTGAGGTTTTGCAGCCAGGGGATGGGCTCGAACTACCGAGTGTATCAGTTATTAGCCGAGCGCTTGGTCTTTGCGTCACCAGACCTCCTTCGACGTCTGTGAAGAGCACAGCTTCCTAGTGCGATGGCTCGGCCTCTCTGGCCAGCTCCCCCATCATGAGAAGCAAGGCCAGGGCAGTGGGGCTGGAGACTTGAACTTGGCTCGGAACTAAGTCAAAAGCTCCCCCACCCCCCCACCCAAACCCTTTTAGAAATTAAGTTCCATGAGTGCTGTTTTTCGTTATCAGTCTCTGTAGACACTCCGTCTTTCTGTGGTGTTGGGGTTGGAGAAGAGCCAGCACAGCCTGTTTATCGCTCATATTACCGCCTTGTTGCTGCCAGGTGCGACCAAGTGGCTTCTAACCCACGGCGGCCCAAGTCCCAAGGGACAAAACACCGCTGGGCCCTGAGCCCTCCACCCAGTTGTTGCTGTCTGAGCCCACGGGTACAGCCGCTGGGCTGTGTCCATCCACCGCCTGGAAGGCCTGCCTTGTCTACTATGACCAAGCGCCCAGAAGAGGAGATTCGCTAACCCTCGTGTTCCTCTTCTCAGACTTTCCACCTTGTCTGCGGTAACAGCGCCAGAATCCCTTTTGCGATTCGTTTTTTCAAATTCGTTGTTCAAATTCGCTTGGAGAGGTAGGATAAGGCCGCTCCTGAATCCCGTGTGTTTCAGTATTTCCCTTTGTGCTCGACGTCGGGGCAGCAGCTCTTTCTCACGTCAATGAAGAGACCTCAGACAGACATCTCTGCGCACGCTCCTTAGGATTCCTCACCCTGTGTCTTTCGAGAAACATCCATCCAGACGATCCCTCGCGGCCCCTCAAGAGCAGTTTCCCAGCTAATCTTTCCGCCTCACGTTGCACCGGCCCAGGGGATGCCCTTGGAAGCCGGAGTTTAGATGGGGCCCTTTTCCGAAGGCACCTCGGGCGGATCGCCCAGCAGCTCCAAGGGGGAAAGACCAGGCTTCCCCCTCCCGGGAACAATTGCAGTCTCAGAAGCCCGCAGCGGGGAGGCGGGGCAATGGGTCCGCAGGGACTGGATGGCAGTGAGTGAGGCTGACTGGGAGCGCCGTGACAGTCGCACACACGTGTTGGACACATGATGGCATGGCCCCTGTGAGTATGAACTGGGAGCTGGGGACCGAGACGTCTCCATGTGTTCTCATGCTGGTACCTTGTCCTCCAGCGGGAAGACGGCGGCTTACCCTCCACCCACGAATGCCCGGGTGCCCGCGAGCAGCACCGATGTGTCTCCTTGGCGTAGTTTTGTCCCTCTAGCCCTTCCCTGAAGAATTCTGTGCTCTTCAGTCGCGTCACAGTGGCAGTTGGGCACCCCTGGGGGGCTCAAATCGTGCTCCCTTTCAGTTCTTTGAGTTTGGGGAACACAAGGAATGCTGAACGGGCAAGGCTAGGGCTGAAGGGAAGGCCCCGGCGGCCGAGAAGGGTGAGCAGGCACAAGCTGGTGATGGAAAACAGTTCCTCAGCTCAACTTTCAGGGGCCCCTGCCCTCTCTGCCAATGTCGTTTTCTAAAACGATCACCTTTCTTCCATAAGCCGCTGTGATCGCCCGGCCAGCATTGCTCACGGAAACCTCTCAGGATGATCTCTCTGGAATCCCAAGAAACAGTCGGCACAGGCTTCTGAGCTGAACCCCTCCCTCGCACCCAGCAGATCCCCTCGGAAGGCAGTTTCCATTGACCTTTTTTTTTTTGCGGGGGTGGGGTGGGGCTGGGGATGTAATGGTTACCCGTTGGGCTGCCAGCAGCAAGGTCAACAGTTCAAAGCCACCCGCCTCCATGTAGGAGGACGACGAGGCTTGCTACTCCTGTGAAGAGTTGCAGTCTCAGCTTGGATCAACGTGTGTGTGTGTGTGTGTGTGTGTGTGTGTGTGTGTGTGTGTGTGTCCTGGACCCTGGGAGCTGTACTTTGGCTGATCTTTGCTGTACCCCAAGGGATGTCACCGCAGGCGGGCAGGTCCAGGAGAGGCCGCGGGAGCCCTGGCTGGTTCTCCTGTGCTTCTCAACAGAGGCAGACCCCTGGCCTCCCTCCCTCGGAACTGATGCTGCGGGGAGGGGGAGATTTGGGGATTGGGGGGGGCGGTTTCAAACCCCTGTCCTTGTACTGTATCCACACGTTTAACCCTCGGGTCACCAGGGCTCCTGCAGTGCGGCTGGAAATAGACAAGACCCCAAGATGCAGAAAAGATATTTGCAAGTGCAGCCAACAAGGCTGACCTTTGGTTTGGGTCTTCTGGAGAGTGACTTGTTACCCTGGCCAAATGTGGCAGTGACATCATCTTCTGTAACTTGAGTGGAGGGGTGGAGTTATAGCCTGTCAATCAGGCCATAGCCAAAGGTGCCTCTCTGTGGGCATGGCCTTCTCCTGAGGATTCTGGGAACTCCTGTCTTCCTCCTTGGAGGCAGGACACACACTCTACTTGACATTCCGGTTGACAAGCTACATGGAGCTACGCTGATGCAGCCAGAACCCTGGAGCTGGAAAAGCCACGTGGAGACTCCTTCCAGCATGGAGATGCTTCCACAGCCACTGGATCCACAAGACTTTCCACTCACTGGCCTGTGATATTCCTGCATTTGGCGTCATTGCGTATGTTGTGCGCGTCTGAAAGGGAATTTATGGACTGGTACTGGACATGTGGGCAGTATCGGACTTATGGACTTGATCTGGACTGGACATGGGATCTTCCCTAATAGATGATTACTTTTTGATATAAAGCTTTCTTACATGAGTGTCTATGAATTTGTTTCTCTAGTCAACCCAGAGTAACGCGCCAAATGACAGCTATCCATGCTGCGTGCTTTCTGTTGGGGAGGCAGAAAACCAAGTTGGGGTGGGGTGGGAATAGCGCTTTCCATAGAAAGGGGTTAATCATTGCCTATACGGGACCCAGGCATCATGACCAAGGCTCACAGGGAGCTGGACGCAGACCTCCATTCAGTCCACAAGCCACAAGGCTGCACAGAGCACACCCATGAGCCCCGTGAGGCCCGTGCTGCATCTCTAGGGTTCTCGGTGAACGTCAGTTACGTTGAGCCCTGGTGGTGTAGTGGGTCACATGTGGGGTTGTGGACCCAACAAGGTCAACAATTCATAACCACCCGCCGCTCCACAGGAGAAAGACGAGGCTTTCTGCCTCTGTAAAGAGTCAGTCTCAGAAACCCACAGGGGGCAGTTCCACCCTGTCCTCTAGGGGCGCTGTGAGCTGGCACCCACTTGATGGCAGTGTGCTTTTTCAATGTTGTTAAGGCTGTAAAATAGCATAATGAAAATGTGACATAGCAAGAATGACCAAAATCTCTCTCTCTCTCACACACACACACACACACACACACACACACACTTTCAAAAAGGTGGTGGGGAGATGGGATCCAAGGGAAATGGGCTTCCTTTTTGCCTGTCCACGCGCATGCCCTGAGTGCTCACGGGCGTGAAGGATGCCATAGGGAACTTCTAACACTGGCGGGAAGGCGTTGTTGCCCTCACCTCAGTGACGGTTCTGGGGTGGAAGACGCTCCCGTATTCTAATTCAAAAAGAAGAAAACCCTCCGGATTAGCCGCTGTGCCTGGCTCCTGGGATCTAGGTTCTGTCCTTCACAATGGTCACACGGAACTTGCACAGTGACCACGTTCAAAGGTTGTTCAAGGAGTTAACAGGCAGGACACGCTCAGGATCGAGCTGGTTAGTCAGGGCACATTACAGAGTTCTTTCAGGGCTGGGAACGCAGAAAGGGCAGGCCACTTGGTTGTAGGCTTCAATGTGAAGGCACTTGGTCCCAGCCCCTCTAGTAAATGCCCGGAGGCACCTCAGTCCACACGCCAGCCCCCTGCACAAAAGCATCCAGCTTTACCTGCTCCATCCGTTTCCCCACCTCCTCACCCAGACCCACGCAGGGAACCGTCTCCACCTGCAGCTACGTGCGTTTATTCAACGTCTGCGGGACGAGTCTAAAGTTACCACCTGGGAAAGTGCCGTCAACCTGACCCGTGGTTAGAGTCCAGTGTGTCAGGTGGGCCTGGTGGCCATGGGTCAGCTGCCAGCCCGCCCCGAGAGCCTGACGAAGGCCAACTCGTATTTCTAGTGGGCCCCACTCCAGACGGACCTAGCGGCTCTCGAGTATCTGCTGGGTAAGTTATTTTTTGCCTGAGTCTCGGACGCTGACTGACTTGTGGGGAGTGGGGTTGGGGAGATGGCCACAGGCGGCCGTGCCGTGGGAGCTTCAGCCCTGCGGCTGTCTCCTTTCCCGGCTGTCTAGCTGCCGTCACCAGGCAAGGCCTGATCCTCGGTTTACCCAGCCCGACAGGTCCCTTCAGGTCTTCATCCTGCCTTAAGCCCAGCCTTCTGGGGAGGAGACTTTCTCCATGTCCTTGGCTTGCATTTTATGAGCTGCCCATGACCTTGTAAATAAAGTGGCTTCTGTCAAGCCCAAGACCCTGTGGGACAGGTCACGTCAGCGAGTCAAACTCACCCGCTGCCCTGAGGGGGAGAGAGGAGGCGTCTGCTCCAGCCAACAGCAGCCTGCAGAACCACAGGGTGGTGCTAGTCTGCCCTGCAGGGCCCCTGGGAGTCAGAGTGGAGCCTGGCAGGGGGGCTGGCAGCAGTCTCCCAATGATGGCTTATAACTGGCTTTATAACTTGTTATAAATGGCTTATAACAAGTGTGCTTGTAACACCAGCCTCCCATGTGCATTCCTTCTCCCTCGGGAAAAGGCCGCTCTCCTTCAGGGAGCGCAGCCAGGAGCGAGACCAGGGCGGTCGGCGAGGCCCCGCGTGAAGGAAGTCACTGAGCCACGAGTTTAGAAATGACACCAGAGATGAACTTTATTTTAAAGCTCATAGAAGGCTCCACAATGTTGGGTCACAGGGATCCATGGCCCTCCCCGTGGCCCCGGGTGGGGGCAGGGGCAGGGCTTCTGCTCTGCATGCAACTAACACAGTTCACTAGCTTTTCACTTATACTCGTTGCGTTTTTTCCTGTTTTTTTTTCTTTTTCTCTCAACACCACAGCAAAGAAGTCGTCAGCGATTGGCGAGGATTCACTTGGGAAGGCCCCATGGGGTCAGACGTAGAACCTTGTGGAGACAGATGTCCACGCACACACATGCCGCCTGGAGCAAGAGGCCAGGAAAGGGCCTTGGCAGGGGACCCCGCTCCCTGGCCCCGACACAGCCCCTCCTCCTGCCTCCCCTCCTCCCAGGGACCAAGGCCGGCTTCCGCCTCAGACGGACATGGGGACACTGCAGAGGGGCATAGTATGAGTGCACAATTCCACAGGAATCTGAGTTACCAAGGCAATTTCCCCTTTAGGATCAGACACCACGGATGCTACGGTTTTTTGCTTTTATCCCTTTTTCCATAGAACACACGAAATTTCTAATCATTCTTCAAAAAGGAAATATCGTTTCTCTACGCTGCGCGGCCTAGTCCAGGTCCATGTGCAGGGGGTTCTGGGCGGTGGTGTGGCCGTCGCCATTCTGCTGCGGAGCCTCGGCACCCGTGGTGGCCTTGCCCTGGCTGTCCCGGTCCTCCGTGCCCGTGCGCGGGCCGTTGGGTGCTCGCTCCAGCTTGGGTGATTCGACTTTTGGCTTGGGCTGTGTCACGATGGGCTCGCAGGTGGAGGTCAGCTCCTAAGAGGACACGCAACACCCGTCATTTGACTCCGAGACCCATCTTGCATGCCCCAGCCACGGAAGACCCCTAGCCATCCAGGGACCCCACCTCTCACCACACGGCGGGCCCTAAGCAGAGCCTACTCAGGAGCTACCACGGGGACTTGCTATGTTCCCACATTCGCCCTCACTGGGTCCTCTCAAAGTGGAACGACCTCCACACCCCACCCCCCTCCACCAAAGGAGCCTCCTGACCACAGGAGCAGCGTCCAGAGCTGGCTGCAAGCCCACGGCCACTGGCATCAAAGGCCCGTGGTCCTTCTGCCTCCAGGGCTGCACTTCACTGTCACTTCAGAGGGCAAACAAACGTGGTCTCTTCTTCCCAGCATCCTCCACCCTGTCCAGTCTTCCTTCCCAGAGGAGACACCCACCCACCCCCTTCTACTCACCCGCCTCTGACCGCCACCTTCCCACAAGTGGGCTAGTTCCCTGGCAGCAAACCCCGAAAGTAGGCGCCCAGGACAGGCGCTGGACAGAGACTTCGTGTGACGGAGACAGCAGGTCCCATCACGAGCGGGGACTCCAGGCAGCCCCCCCGAGATGGTGACGCACCTTGACTTTTGCTCTGATGTCCTGCACGAGCACAGCGGGGTCCTGGTCAGGCCTCCTCTTGGCCTGGGCGTTCATGGCATTGTTCATCCACTCCCTCACCTCGCTCACCGACTTCTCCACCTTGCTCATCTCGGACGCGTCGATGTGGTTGTACTTCTCCTCCTGAGGGAAAAGACAGGGTCACCCTGAAGAAGGGACGGCGTGACAGCCCCACCTGGAGTGCTAGCTACCCAAGAGCCAGGTCAGCTTCCAGCAGACCGACCGACCGACCGACCTCGTTTCTGAAGTTGGCCACGATCTTGGTGTAGTGCTGCAGCCTCTGGCCCAGCTCCGCAAGCGCTCGGGGTCGGTCTTCCGCTTCTTGAAACCGGAGTTTCACTGGCGAGCCGATTCTCTGAAACACAACATGACAGCTGACTGGCTGTCGCCGTTACTTGAGAAGTCCAGTGAGGAGCCTGGGGGACAGATGGGTAAGTGCTACGGCAGATGGTCAGCTGCAGTGGGAGAAAGGCCTGGCAACCTGCTCCCGTAAAGGAGCAGCCGGGGCCCCTACAGGGCAGTGCTCCCGTCACACGAGGTCAGAAAGCACCCAGCAACAACAGGGGTGCAAACAGGGTCACAAGTGGGAGGGGATTCATGGGTCATGTTGCCACCCCCCTCACCAAAATGTGTCAGCCTTACAAAACTCCATGGCCAAGATTGTGTGGTTGTCCTCCGCTGTGAGTGGTTACAAGTTCACTCCACGCTGTGGTATCTCTGAGCATCAGCCGACGTGAGCAAGTGGGGGCACCTTGAGTCACCACCCCGACTCAACTCCCACCTTCCATCTCATGAGCGAGCAATGCAAGGGAAGAGGAGGCCAGCCGGTCCTTTTGCTGGGAACCCCTAGACCCAGGGAAGACCGATGTCTCCGAGACAGGGTGGGCACTGAAGGTGGACGCGCACCACGATGTCACAGTGTCCCCAGAAGACGACGGGGACTGGGACAGGGGCGAGTGCTCACCATCAACTCGGCCAACTTGTCCACGTAGGCCTGTCTGCACTGGTCGTCCCCTTCCTCATACAGCCACTCCTCCGTCTCCGAGAGGACTCTCAGGAAGCTCTGGTGGTCCTAGGGCAGCAGGCACGACAAGGGCAGGGGCGGTCACTTCGCATGGGTGCACAACCCACTACCCGCCCCGGGGGCTGCTCCTTCAGTCCCCACAGAGGCTCCCGGCCACGTGGTCTGCGGCAGGGCATGCAAGTTAGCTGCAGTCAGAGAAGAGCACGCGAGGGAGGAAGGGGCTGTGCTCACTGACGGGTGGGCAGGTGCCCAACAGGCTCGATGGCAGGGTAGGTGGCTGCTCTGCATGCCTGCACCACCGAGTGCGGGGGTCTAGACCTTCTTGTCCCCCCAACAACGTGGCCTGGAGTGATTCTCATTCCTAGGATCAAATGCCGAGGAAGCGACACCAGTTGACAAGGCAGTGACGGACATCTGGGAAAAGGCCCAGCCCACTCAGCAAAGTCTGTACTTCCATTCTATCCTTGGGGAGCAAGGGGCTGTGCAGTTTGGGTTTATCCCCACTTCAGCACCAGAACTGTAAGACACCCTGGAAACGTTAGGGGGGGAGGTGTGGGGGACAGAGCTGTATCAGGACAAAAAGGCTCCCATTTAATTGCTAAGATCATTCCCGATTTCTGTCTAGTTAACCCACCCCCACCCCCACCCAAGTTCTGCAATCTGCAGTCAAACTGACTTTGGAATCAAAGACCCAGGGCCAAGGGGGGCGGGGTGTGTGGTGGTGGTGGTGCTGTAAGAGGAGGGGCTGATAGTTATGGGGTGGACAAGTCCGGGGGCAAGCACACAGCCCAACAACAGGCCGCCCCCACAGGGGTGAGTCGTCTCAGAAACCTTGATGAGACAGAGATCAGGATGTGAGGCTGTTGAGCTATTGCTCCAGCTTGCTCTCCGCCAAGTCTACACTTCCCGACGGAGGCCAGGTCCCAGCTCTCCAGCCCTCCCCGCCTCCCCCCCAGACTGCGAGCTTCCTTTTGGTCTCATCACAACAGCCCAGGCTGGGTTCTGTTTCAGGGTTGTTGAGTTTTAGGTGCTGAAAGTCTAAAGGGGCAAGATCGGGCCGCAGGGCAGATACGGTCTGGAATCAAACAGCCTGTGACCCTCAAAGAACGGGCAGATGTATGTGCCACAAATTCCTGGAACAATTTTCCTGGACTTTCCCTCATCAATGAAGTTTTGTTTCCTTAAAAATCCATCCTAATAAGCCCGCAGCAGCATCTGTGTCCCTGAAGAAAATGTACATGGACGTTTACAAAGTCCCCATCACCTTCTGAGCTGATCTCCCTGCCTGGAGCGATGCTGGCCCTGCAGACCTGGACGTCCCTGCCGCTCTCCGAATCACTGGTCATCCAGGCCTCGCCTGGTCCCCGCAAGCCGCTTTCCTGAGCTTCTGCCTTGCTTTACAAAGAGTGGAAAGGTCAACCCCTCGGGGCAAGCTCTGCCTGAGCCCTTCCTGGCACCCACTGAGAGGAGCAGAGACATCTGCTTACGCGTGAGGACGGCAGCCCACCAGCACTCTGACTTCAGGAGCCTTTTCCAACTGGTTTCTACTCGTCAGCCGCCCTGCCTACACTCGAGGTGGGGGTCCTCACTCGGCTCACCTTGAGGCCTCCCAGGCCTCCCCTAACACTAGCTTGACGCCTTTGATTTCCTCAACAGAACTTACAAAAACCATTTATATCTACCTCCTTCCATGTATGCTGACTTTAATTTATATGTTCAAATTCATTTTCTTCTAAGCCTTTGCATCTAGAAATTCTCTGTGTGGTAGACCTATCTCCACAGATACCTGCCAGTGTGACGTGAAGGTACTGAGTACTAACCCGTACGTAGGTCTCATTCATGAAAGCCTCACCTCAGTGATACACAGAAACATAGTCAAGAAGCCCTTGCAATGGAAACGTCACATGTACAACACATGTCGCGGAGCTGGTCAGACCGATGGACCCGAGAGCGACCCTTAGGGCAGTCGAACCTGGAATCCCCAATCTCATGTGATGTTAGACATTCTAAGCTTTATGTGAACATACAGTATCACGTACTTTTATTTGTAAGTTAATAGTATGTAGTTATGTTGTTTTCTAAAGAAAAGGTGTGGTTCTGTCTCCGTGTCAACTCAACATGTGTCCCTCAGAGACGGGTGTGTGAGAAACGCCTGTGAACCCAGCGTCAAAAGCGTGATCCATCTAAAACCCGTTGTTTCACAGGTGGGAGCATCCCTGCTGGACTGGAAGGTGTCTATCAGAATTGCCCCCGCCCCCACACGTAGTACCCTGTCTGACTGTAGCTAACAAGCCTCAGACTGCCACGACTGAGTCTGAGACGGACTTGCCCGCCGCAGCCCCTGGGAAGGTTCAAGGCCCCAAGTTTGTTCGTCGGGTTCATCTCAACTTTGCCCAAAGCCCAAACGCACCTGCTCGGAGAGGAACTTCTCGTAGGGCCCGCTCAGCTTGTCCCGGAACTCATACACGCACTCCTCCACGGCGTTCTTGGCGTCGTTCCTCTCCTTCTCCAGCTTGTCCTGCATGATCATCTTACCCTGCCAGCAAGCGGACAGAGCACGGGCACTAGGTTTCAACTCTGCACACGCCAGCGCTGGCTAGCTAACCAGTGTCACACACAGAAACAAATCCGGAACACCAACAGTCCTGATGAACACTTCCTACGTTAGGAGGGCTAACTAATACTTCATGGAGAACCTACAGAGGTGCCTCTTCATTTAAACAGACACACTGATGATGTGTTTCAACAACACACCGAAAGTGAATGGTTGTCCCACTTAATACTAAGGGGAGAAAACTCAGCCTGTTCTTTAGATCTGGTGTGTGGCCTGCACGCGGTCTACACCGCCCCCACTAGGTGAGCTGCAGGCCCATCCATGCCAGTCACACTACTCAGCCACCACAGGCACAGAGGCCCTAAGTTCATCGCCAGACGTTCCTAAACACGTCCGCCTCTCTGTCTACAGAGACCATATCTCATTCTCCCGCACGCTGGCCCGAGCGCTCCTAGTGGCGCACCATAGCTCAGGGTCCTGCAGCAGCACGGGATGCTTCTCCACGGCCAGCCGCACAGGGGGCTCCCCAAAGTCCCTGGGAAAACACCACCCTCTGCCAATTCCAATCCCCAGCAGCATGCTGATGGATCCTGTGCTGTGCCCCGTTTCCTCACCAGAACTTGGGCCACCCCAAACAGAATGGTCTATGGCACAAAGCCCTTTCTTTCATCGAGATGCACATCAGCTACCAAAATTGCCCAACAGTTAAACCGGAAAGGGGCCTGGTTCTGGCCCTCACTCCGCTCCCTCCTGGAAACACGGGTCACAGCATGAACCCCTCTGTCCCCGTGTGGCAGGCGAAGCTGCCCACGGCACACTCACCTCCGTCTCAATGTACATGTTCAGAAGGTCTCTCCCCAGCTGCCACACCAGGCTGGCCTCCACAGGCAGCTCCACATTCACCACCTTGATTTTGGGCTTTTTGGCCTCTGGAGGCTGGTCAACCTTCTTTTCATTCACCTTTGGGGTGGGAGGACAAAAGGGCAAGACGGTTCTCAAATATTCCTTAAAGGAAAGAAGCAAAAATCAACTCCCTCGCATGCTTATGACGACGTAGGCAAAACTCACACAGTGAAATGCCCCAAACATCATCAAATTCCGACCGGAGCTGTAGTGACCATCAAACATGCCACCCCTCCTCCAGGAGCCCTGCTGCTCCACTGAGGAGGCTCTCCTGCCTGCACCCAAGGCCCCCTCTCTCCCAGGGCTTTCCTTCCCGAACCCTCTGAGCACAGCCCGATGGTTGCTTCCAGTTACTCACATCCTGCAGGGGTGAAGCTGGCATCTGCCAGTCGCCTCAAACCGACTCTGACCGACAATGGAGATGCCAGGATCGCCCCACACAACATCCCTCCACCCCAGCACGGGCCTGCCTGAGCCCCACGGAGCCCCGCACTGCTCAGCACCTTCTAAAAGCACCTGGGGATATGGAGATGCACGCACACGGACACGCATTTCTCCTATTCCTACCGCTGCCTCGGAGCCCACATTTCTGGTAAGCAAGTGCATTAAGTGCAGAGAGATGACACTCGGCTTAGCAGACCACCAATGCCAGTGCTCCGTGGCAAACATCTTCCAAAGGGAGCAGGCTGGTGGGAGAAGACACATCTCCTGTGGCTCCCACCTTCCCAGTGACGTACCTCTCTGGAGGTTCCGACTCACAAAAGACCAGGAAGGCAACTGAGCCTGAGCTGCAAACTGAGGCACACTGACGAGGGTGTCAAATGGGGAGACCTTGTCCACAGCCACTGGATCACTGCTGGGGAACTGTACACACTTGGCTTCTAAAAGGCGAGTGGTTCAAATGCACCAGCTGCGCCTTGGTTGAGAGATGAGGCTGACAGGCTCAGGAACCCCGGGGAGCAGTCCTCTGGGCCCTACAGGCTTGCTATGGGCGGGAGTCTACTCAATGGCAAAGAGCTTGGAATGAGTATCAATTTAAAGAGCCCCTTGTGGTGCAGATTAAGTGCTCAGCTGCCAATCTAAAGGCTGGTGGTTCGAGGCCAGCATCCAGGCAGCCTGGCCCCAAGGGCGGTTCTACTTGGGCTCCAGGAGCTCTGAGAGAGTCGACTCGGCTGCACCGGCTGTTAGGAGACGACAGGAGGCTGGAAAAGGGCGCCCGCTTGCCCAGTGGTACAAAGACAGAGAGGGAGCTGGAGTGCAGGTTCCCAATACGTCAATCGTCAGTCAGTGACAGTTAGTCACGCCAACAGACCTTCCTTCACAGCTCCTTGCTCCGGTGCAGGACATGCGTGCGCACACGCAGGACATACACACGTGACCCAGAGGATACCCACACCTGCGGCAGCACAGGCTGGACAACATGACGGGCATGACTAGCGTGTGTGGCACTCCAACCAACACGGTGCCCGGGTGTACAGTGTGACCGGGTACGCCCAGAGGGCAACAGCTCCAGCCACAAGGAAAGTCACCAGCTCTGGTGCCCGCCCCACGGGAGATGCAGTTCTTACTGGGACCTCCGGGGACCCAGGTCAGTTATAAGGCGGGCGGGCAGGCAGGTTTACCTGGGGGAAAAGTACTCCAACCCCCAGTGAACAATTCTGAGGGCAAAGAGCCCACCAACGTGCCAAGGAAAATGTGGGCAGTCCCTAGCGGACACATCATCGTCATGCGCTTGCAGGGCACCAGGCATCCCGTGACCTCGGGCCGTCCTCCCGTATCCACTGAGCATGTGCCCCGTCGGCAAGGCCTGATAGGAAGCCACCCACACGCCATGGGACACACCTGAGACCATCAGGTGACCGCCATTCTTGACTCTTGTCCGACGGCTAACTACTTCTCCTGCCTCACAGCCCAGCACCAGCAGGTAGACAGGGGCCCTGAGTATCAGCCCCGCCCCCCCGGCCAGAGCTGAGCAGCAGAGGACGGGGAAGGCAAGGTGGCACTGGCTCTGACAGGAGCGTCAATGGAACGTGCTGGAAGAGTCACTCACTTTGTCGGCCTCGGGGGGTTTGTTTCCTTCTGAGGGAGGCTCAGGTGGAGGGGGAGGCGGGGAGGTATGGTGGCCATCGCTTTGTACCTGGGGCTCTGTCCCAGCGTCACTGCTCTCGGGCTGGACATTGTTCTGAAATGAAAGCCCAGGCACAAAGGATGTAGAAAGCAGTGACCGGCTCGGTCCCGAGTCAGGGGCGCCAGAGATGGGCGCTCAGGCCTACTGCTGGAGAAAAGGGTACCCGGTCAGAGCAAGCAGCACCCACACTGAAGCAGGCTTCCGAACCACTCTCCACCTGAAAGAAAGTCTTTGAACAGCATTAGGTCACACGGCAGGCAGGCGGTTGGTATGCTGAGCAGACATTGGACAGACAGGTCTCCCTAGAGCACAGGACACAGCTCACTACCATCCAGGCCTCCTTCCCAGAACAAGCTGACCTACTCATTTCACCAGCAACCACCACGCAGCTCCAACATCACTAAGCCTCAGTTCACCCAGGAGTGATGTCATGGGACCGACGACCGAGTCTCAGGGGGGATACAGCTCCCTGGGGACATGATCTGTTCCCCGCTCCCCACACAGCTCAGGACAAGAAACAATGACGCCGTTACATGTTCAGGATCCCTGATGCAAAACCCAGTGAAGATAGAGCTGGAAATAGACCCTCAACTTCTCCGGGATTTTGTTAGGGTGCTGTCAGCCCTCCCCGCCAGGACGCCCCAGGGAACGCCACCACCTTCCCCATCAGAGCAGCCAGGGGAGTCCATGGAAAGGCACTCTGCCCACCAAGCGCCAGGCCCTCGGCAGACAACGGGAAAGCCCCATCCAGCTGGACACCAGCTCTCTGCAGCCAGCCGAAAAGACCGAGGGCGCCGAGCACTTGGAACATCTTTCAGAGATGAGACCCAACTTGGGCTGGAACGTGGTCTAAGAAGGCTGACAGGGTCCCCACAGGGCCCCGGCCTTGTAGGTCTGTGGGCATGCCCACATTCAGCTGAGTGCCAATCCGTGCCAACACTTCCACTCTGTGGGACACCTGGGCTCACGGCAACAACCAACCAGAAACTGCTCTTTCTAAACACTCCTCCCACTTCTTCAGTCATTTAAAGGGAGAGGGGGAGGCACTCCTTCCTCTTGCCTGCTCCCCCCACTCCACCCCCGGCCACAAGAGTTCTCCACGTTAATGAAAGCCAACAGGCTCTAGGAGACCACGGCCAGCTCTGCCACACCCACACCCTCTGCGTGAGAGATGACCCAGGGCGAGGTCCCACCTGCACTTCAGGTGACGGCCCATTGCCTTCACGGCCCCAAGTCCTCACCCAAAAGCTAAGGGAGAAAACCCCTCCTGTAGCTGGGGGGAAGCTAGCTCAGAGGTGTCCCCCCACTTACATCGACGTCTGGGTGCTCCGGAGGCTGCGGGCTGGGCCCCTCTACGTCCACCTCCCCTGAGGATGCCTCGCCCTCCTCAGTGGGGACCTTCTCCACCATGGACGCCGTGGAGACAGTGAAGATGCCGTGGGTGTTGACGCGCACCTTCACCTTCACCTTCGCCTTCTCCCCATCTTTCTGTGCAGACACGTTCTGAATAAAGAAGCGGCCTGGAGGGGACGAGAAGGAAGGACGAGTCAATTTCACGACGAGTCCAAGAGGAAGGCTGGAGGGGCTGCCACCCCGTTCCCCGCCCTCTACTGGGGCTCCATCTCTCGGGCACGCTAAGGCTCATCAGGAGCAGGGGCTCCAGGGGATGGAACTGGAGTCTGCACGCTGGGCACGGGGTGAAGTGTGTGGAGCAGGGCAGCACACAGCACAGCACGAAGGCCTTACCTATTTTGGCTTCTGGGTAGGGGACGCCTTGAGGGTCTGAGTAGAAGGCTTCCAGCTCGAAGGGCCCTCTCCTGAAGAAGGTGAGGATCTTGGAGAAAGGGGCCGGGTGGTTTCGGCAGAACACTTCATACATGCTACGGAACAGAGGGAGGTGCTGGTTATGGACGGCGATTTCTCTGCCCTGAAAGGGACGGTCCACCTTCCCAGTCCAAGATGCCTCCCACAGGTGCTCAGCTGTGCGGTTAAACTAGCGCTGGCCGAGGCTCGCGGTCACTGAACCCTAATCATGGTAGGAACCCTGGAGGCCCAGTGGGTAACGAGTGGGGTTGCTGGCCCCAAGGCCAGCAGCTCAAAAACCACCGGCAGCTCCACCGCAGAAGGGCGAGGCTGTCCTCGCTCAGCCTCGGGAACATCCGTCTTGTCAGGCTGCTCGGAGGAACTGAGTCTGTGGCAGGAAGTCTGTTCAAAGCAAGCCCACCAGCAGAGGCAGCCTGCACCCCAGGGTTTCCAAGACTAATTCTTTTAGGGGAACAGACGGTCACATCTTTCTCCCAAGGACCAGCTTAAGGGTCTGGGTTACAGTCAGCAGCCCAGCACTTAACCCTCATGAGTGGAGGTCTAACGGTCAAACTGACCCCGCCCAGAGGACGGTCCCCAGCCTGGCAGGGACAGATGAAAACAGGCGCTGACGCCTAGAGACAGCTGCACAGAGTAAGCACAGTCTGTCCAGCGTGTTTCACCAGACAAGGGCGGCTGTGCCCGACAGGCAGAGGGCAAAGACCCACTGTGGCATCGTCCTGGACTCTCCCTAGGGTACTGGAGAGGGGACGGTGGTCAGAAGTCTGGTCACTGCAAGGTCCCAGTTACAGCCATCACCCTCTCTGCTGCTTAAAACAGACATGTGTGTGTGCATCTCGCCTGTTTGTACTGAGAACAAGGAAAGGCCTCTGAGGGCGGTGTCCGGCGTCCGGCTGCATACCCACCCTTCAGTGTCTTCCGAATCGTGGTTCCAGACCAGGGAGATGGGAAAGGGGACGGCATCGGTGACAGAAAACTCTCGAACCTTGAAAGCCGGGGAGAGGATAGCACACTGCAGGGGATAAACAGTGGGCAGAAGGTAAGCTTGGGCCATGGACGTCACCCACATTTGAGCACAAATCTCCAAAGTTTGCATTCAAACCAAGCACAAAAAATTCACCACCACACTACGGCGGCCACTAGAAAGAGAGAGAAAGATGAATCTTGGGGCAAGAAAACCGCCCGTGGCCTTGGAGTTGATTCTGACAGAGCAACTCCAGAACCTGGGGCCCCCCAAGTCCCCAGCTAACAGCCCACTGGGCCACCGGTGCTCACGGACGCCCCGGACAGAGGCTCAGGCAATGGGAAGTTCCACGTGGGCATCCCTTCCAGCAACGCCCCGTCCTCGGGCACATCAGTGACCACCTCTCTCTCTTCTGAACACAGAACAAAGGCCTTCAACACGTCCGTGGGAAAACAGAATGGAGAGAAAATGGCTTTTTCCCACGAGCTTTTGGAAGCCCTGTTGGGCAACTGGGGAAGGGTAAACGCCCTGTTGTCCATGTACCACAGGGGCACAGGCAAGGGAGGGGCAGGCTGGCTGGACTCCAAGTTCCAGCACCCCCCATGCTGCCCATAGAAGCGCTGCCTAGTCCTGCACCTGCCCCACACCCACTGCAGCCTCATCTGATTATGTGGGTGGTGAGACCACAGCCCAAAGGAGCCCTCGTTAGCTTGCTTGTGAGGCAGATTAGGAACTGTCACCTTCCCACCTGCTCTGCTATCAGAAAGGCACGTGCTCCACAGGAAGTGAAAAACGAGAGCCCGAGACCATGAGGGCTCAGCAGGTGAAGGCTGACAGAAGCACACATCCTGATGACAAGCAAACACTCCCCGCTTCTGTCTGGAAAAGCCCTGGCTTAAAGCCAAGAAACTGGTAACTAGACTGGGATTCAAGTAGGTCAATGTGAAACCCTTTAAAAGGACAGTGCCCTACTTGATCCCAATTCCAAAAAGCAAAATACGGCTTACGGTGGTTCGGTGTGGCAGTCAGTTATGTATGGCCTTAGTGTCGTTTGACCAGATGTCACCCCTCCCTCAGTGACCATCTCCCAAGCCAACACTTTGCGTTTCTGACCAGCACGTTACAATCTAATCAGTAACACTGTGCGCCAGCAGCTTCCCGCCTGGCAGTGAGATGCCAGGCGAAGTGGCCACTGGCTGTGGTGGTCACATGTGCGTGCCCCTGGCAGGGCCGGGATGCACAGGAGCTGGGCAGTGACGCCCTGAGGGGATCACCCTCCGTTTTCACAGGATGTGCTGGTCTCTGGTTAAGTGAGAGGCGGGTGCCAGGCAGGGGAGAGGCCCACAGGCAGTACCTGGAGGGCGCACCCTCGAGCCACAGCTTCATCAGCGTTGAGTGTAGTGCTCACGTCCTTCTCAAAGAACTTTGCAATGGCGTCCTTCACGGCCGGGATGCGGGTGGTGCCCCCCACAATCTCCACGGCGCTCACATCTTCCGCAGTCAGCTGGGTCTGCTCCATCAGCTCGCGCAGGGGCTTGTCCAGCCTCTGCAGCAGGTCGGCACACAGCTTTTCAAACTGCGCCCTGCCGGGGTGAGCAAAAGGAGACGTTTTAGAGAGCAGCCTGGAAAGCCAGTTGCTGGCACCCCATCACCGCCCTTTGCTTCCTTTTAAAATAAAAAGGTCTCCCCAATCCAAGGTGTCTGGCTCCAGCCCCAGGAGGAAACCATCAGCTGGCTTGGGGGCTGCTTGGCTTGCCCTCCACTCTGTGAACACAGCAGTGGGAGGCAGGAGGGACGGGGACACACACCAGTTCTCAGATGGTCTGAGCTACTCCCGTGATCTGACGTGAACAGCTGAGTCGGCCTTTCCCTCCCGTCCCAACTACCGTGCAACCACTACTGCTGCTGCAGCAGCTCCGACACTGACACGACAGGGCTGCCCTCTCTAGGGAAGCAGACAGAACCGCTCCCTCAGGCCCACCGGTGGGCTCTTCAGGGGAGCACCTGCTACTACCCACAGTAAGGATCCCACCTGCTCATCCTGCCGGACACGTCACGGTCCTGGAGGAAGCACTCGATGTTGAGCGGGAGGTCTGTGCTGATGGAGCTCATCAGCTTCTTGAGCTTCTCGCACTCCTGGTGCAGGCGCAGGAGCGCGCGGGGGGTGGACTTGGCGTCCAGCTTGTACTTGGCCTTAAATTCCGAGCAGAAGTGCTCCACCAGCTTCTCGTCAAAGTTTTTCCCGCCCAGGAAGGGATCAAAGGCAGTTCCCAGGACCTAGCGGCATTGAAACAATGTCGTCTGTGACGGCCGACGCAGAGCGCAGACCCGGCCTTGGGACGCCTCCAGTCCACAAGCAGCCTCACGCTCAGAGGGCCTGCCGCCCCGCAGGCTCCCGCCCTCCTGTGGTGGCCCAGTCATTTCGAACGGCTTAGACGGCTTTTTTTTGTTCAAAACTTGTTTTATTATTAAAAAAAGATCATTTTATTGGGCGCCCTTACAACTGTTACTACAACCGATACATCAGTTTTATCAGGCATATCTGTACATATGTGGCCATCTTTCTTTTCTAGACATTTACTTTCTATTGAGTCCTTGGTATCAGCTCCTCTTCCCCCACTCCCACCACCTTTGTGACGCCTTGATAGATTACAAATTATGATTATTTTCATATCTCACACTGACCGCTGTCTCCCGTCCCCCACGGTTTCTGTTGTTCTTCCCCCTGGAGGGGGCGGCTTAGAAATCTTCACTGCCAAGAAAGAGCGCAGCCCAGAGGCTGAGCGTTAACAGGAAAAGCCATGACACACACACACACACCACAGGAGGTGGGTTAAACCCACCGCCTTCCAGCTGATTCTGACTCATAGCAACTGAACTGCCCCCACCCGGCTTCAAGGCGGTCAACTTTATGGGAGTAGACAGCCTTGTCTTTCTCCCGCCGAGTCCCCATCCGCTGTGCCACCAGAGCTGCTTGGGGAGCACTGTGCACACTCGGGAACGGCACTCACCTTCAGCCTCCCCTTGTTAAAAGCGCAGGCCGACACTTGAAATGCCGAGTGTCCCATGTCAACAAAGACCACCACGCGGGGCTTCTCTTCCAGGTTGGGAAGGTCCTGCTTATAGATCCCGTAGTTCAGAGCAACTACAACAGAGAGAGGCGTCCGTCATCTATCCGCTCACAGGAAACCTAAACACCCTTTAGCCGCGCCATGCCATTGCCCAAGTGCCCCTTCTCCACTTCCACAGATGGTGCCCAGCCAAGACGTGAAGGGCAAAGTGCCTGCCCGGGGTGGGGGGACTGATGGGCGACATAAGGCTGCTAAGTGATGCTTATGTTTAACCACAAACTGCTAGGAGACACTCAGCCAAAGACACGAGCTTCCTGTGTGACCACACCAGCTCCCACAGCCACCACTGTGGCTGGTTTGCAGCAAATGATGTCTGACCATCTCAGAGAATCTGCGAACATCTTGCTAAGAATCTTTGCAGGAGCAGACAGCCTCAGCTTTCTCCCTTGGAGTGGGTGGTGGGTTTGAACCCCGACCTTGTAGTTAGCAACCCAATACCTAACCCACAGCCCCACTAGGGCACCTTACCCTCACCAATAAGTAGTTTTAGTTTCTCCCAAATCTACTCTGCTCAAAGAAAGCTGGGGGAAAAAATAAAACAAAGTTGCTTCCTTATGTGAATGGACTAGATTGTAATCGGTTTCTTACATGTGTCTACTCCTCACAAAGGCAGCTCTGGTGGCGCTGCTAGATAAGCGCTGGGCTGCCAAGGGCAAGGGCAGCAGTTCAAACCCACGAGCAGCTCTGTGGGAGAGAGAGGAGGCTGTCTGCTCCCATGAAGACGTACAGCCTCGGGGAGCTCGCACAGGGCTGCGAGGTGTTGTCGGAATCAACTGGACAGCGGCGGGTTCTGCCTTTTCATCACCAAGGAGCCCTGGTGGTGCAGTGGTGCCGCAGTGGCTCTGGGAAGTGCTGGCACCGCCTGCCTCCGGCAGCTCTCTGCTACCATCACACTGACTCTGACTCAATGACCCCACAGGCCAGAGCAGAACTGCCCGTGGGCTCCAAGACCAGAAAGTGTGTTCGCTGACGGCAAACACGATGCTAAGAAGTGACACAGCTAAACCCAGCCTCCTAACTCACAGAGCGGTGCATCTCCTGCTCAAGAGCTTCTGCTTCCTCCTGACGTGGGACGCGTCGGCGCGGTGGGCACACTTACCTGCAGTCATGTCGTTCATGAGCCGCAGGCAGTTCAAGCCGACAATGTGCGCTGCGTCCAGCACCGACCGTCTCTCCGCGTCCGTGAAGAAGGAGGGGACCTGCAGGCCAGCAGAGGGGCAGGGACACTTTCACTGACCCCGAACCCTCCCCACCACTGCTGCCTTACCCCCACCAACCCAGCAATGTGGTGCTTGCCAGATCACACAACACACACCTTTGGCCTGAATTCCTCAAACTTTTAGAAACAGAAAGGATGTCTGATAAGAGTGCCCCAGTTAATGACAGCATCCCAAAGCTACCTTCCCCCAAAGCAACCTGCAGTTGAAGTTCACCAAGGAGACTCATCTAAAGCGTCTTCAATTTCATAGGCAACATGTAAACAAACTGTGCCCCAACTACCGTGACATTTCTACCCCCTTCTGCATGTTATAGGGCTCTGTCCACATATAAAACTGAATACAGGGGATTTCAAAAGGCTTGTGAAAAGACAGCAACGTCTTTCCTTCCCATTTTCCACGTTACATAGTAAAACCTTCAAAAGCCATAGCATGTGAACAGCGGAAACCGGCCTGACTGCACGGGGGCCGCCAGAGGCAGAAACCTTTCCAGCGCTGGGCAAAGGAAGCCCCCTCAGCTCCCATAGGTCGCCCGTACGACTGTCATGTGGTCAGGTGCAACGTGACTACAGGAAGGTCAAGACGGGACAGAGCTAACCCTGGCATGTGACTGCCCTTCAGCTTTGCTGCCCAGAGTTTGAGCACCAGGGCAGCAGCCCCGCTGAGACCAGGAAACGCGTGGGCTACGGAGAGCCTGTGCGAGCTCCTACGGAGAGCCTGTGCAGCTCCTACTTACGGAAATGACGCAGTCGGTGACTGGTTTCTTCAGGTTGTTCTCAGCGGTTTCCTTTAACTTGGTCAGCAGCATGGCTGTTATCTGCTCCACGCTGAACAGATGTTCTTCATCCAGGTACATCGCCTATGGCACGGAGGGCACAGAGGGTCAGGCTGCTGGCCGCAGGATGCTGCTCACGGCCAGGCAGCAAGGCACATTCTCTTTTGGAAACATTGGGGAGAGTGGCCCAGGGCATAGTACTGAACCTTCCGGACCCTTTTCAGAGAAAAAGCGACCCAGCCCCCCTCCCACTTGACCCCAAAGAAAAGCGTTTGTACTGGGCCCATCACCCGGGACCAAGTGTTGCCCTCATCGCCCCCACGGGCAGCCCTGCTCACTTTGGGAAGCGCTGGTTCAGAGGAAGGAACAAAGCAAACCACTTTCCCCTCAACCTGGTTAAGGAGGAGCAGGAGGCTGGGCAGCTTGCCCGCCCACAGCAGGTGGTACATTTCCACTCCCTGAGGACATGGGCCGGGGAGGAGGCTCTCCCTGGGCTCACAGCCCTGGGGGCAGGCTGCCGGCTGGCATGAATCAAGGGCTCTGGCTGGATGACACCTCTGCTCTCCGGACCATGCAACTGAACCCTTGCCTCTGCCTCTGGGTCGACACAATTTCATGGTAAAACCACCCCCCAACAACCCCACTGCCAAGTATGCCAAGTTTGGACGCCAAAGAGCTGGAGGAGACACAAAGCTCGTCACAGGAGATAGTTGTCTCTAAAGCCATGTGAACAGACGCCTCTACACTGGCAACTTTTCAAAAGCAACCAGAAAGAGAGTCAGTTACGAACAAAACACCACCGCAGCCAATTAGAAAGGTGAGGTAAGCGCCTTCTCCCACTTAAGCCAAATCAGAGCACAGCCAGACGCATTTTTGCTGAGCCAATTCAGACTCACGCAAAGTGCGTCTCGAATATTCTGGACTGTCCGTTGTCGTCACAGAAGCACCTGCGGTGCTGCTGGGTGGTTATGAACCACCAACCCTGGGTTTGGAAGCTGAGCGCACACTGTGACGCCACCCAGGGAAGCACTGGGTAAAAAGGCACACCTTCCCTGTAGAGGAGTGACGTCGGCTCCCACGGTAGGTAAGCTGTCCACTCAAACAGAAGACACTGCCTGGTTCCCAGAGGGCACTGCCCTCGGGCGCCCCAGGAGGTCCATTTCCACCGCCCAAGGCCGGTCACGCGGTCCCATCACCTTGATTCCAGCGCTGCCATTTGTCATGGGAACCAGTTCGTAGCTGAGGTTAGCCTTCTCCCTCTGCACAAAGGGGTCGCTGAAGGCCCGGCCATGGAACCTCTTGAAGTGGGAGACTGTGTTGCTGGCATGCGTGATTTGCTGCAAAAGAAGGAGGCTGCTGACGGTCTCATCTCCACCTCCACCAGCGTTTCAGACAGATGCTCCGCACTCCCCTCAGCTAACCCTGAGCACCCTGGGGACCGTTTCCCCAAAGCAATGATCGGGTTTCATTTTTACCTTCTCCCCCCATACAAAAAATGCCAGAAGAAAAGCCGTGAGGGTCAACAGAAGACAGCGGGGTCACAAAGGCCCCCAAAGCTGCGGGACGAAGAATTCAAAGAGCGTGAAATCACAGCAAGTCTCTGGAGACGCCCAACTGCCTGGCTCCATGCCACCTGCCTCTCTCCCAGCCACCAAACACGTCTGTACTTGCACATGGACAAACAGGTAAGAAAGCCGGGCAGCCAAAGGCCGCTTTTCTAAGAGGGCATTTCTAGTGTCTAACGGTCTGCCCAGTGGCGGGGAGTGCATGTTCTCTGAGTGTAATAGGAAAAGCCTCGAATCCTGCTACCAGTGACAGGGAATGCCAGACAGTCCACTTCGGAAGAGAGGAGAGGGGGGACATTTATTAAAGAGCCTCTAGGGGGCTCAGCACTGCCAAAACACGGTGCGAAGGAGGAGGAGGCAGGAGGTGAGAAATTAAGCTCAGGCTGCCCCAGGTACAGGTGGCACCACCTCTGCCAGGCTCGGCTCTCTCAAGTCGCACAGTTGCTCAAAATGAAGGTGGCAGATGGGAAAGTTAAGAAAGGGCAGAAACCTACTGCCACTGAGTCGGTTCTGACTCACAGTGACACTGCCGACGGTCACAGGAGCAGACAGCCTCACTGTCGTCTCTGGAACAGTGGATGGGTTTGAACTGCCGACTGTGCAGCAACTAACCCACAGCACTATGAGCACTTTGGAGGGCAGACGCGGGGATGTGCACTCCCTTTCCCAAATGGAAAGATGCACAGCAGAGGGGCCTCCGGTTGGCACGCGTCTCCAGAGTCTACGTTCTGAGCTTCAGCTCCTCAGAATCCTGAGAACGAACATACCTGATTTTTGGCAGCCACACCAATTGTTCGGTTTTTCGATCCAAAGGATATGACTGACCTGCAGGAAACACACATTTCAAAAGTACTGAAATGCATCAGAACACACGTTTTCAACCCACATGAAAGTAAAAGAGCTATGATGAATGGCCTATATTGGGCTGGGAGGAGAAAGGGATGGATGATAACTGGAATTTACGGCATTGTCAGAAATGGGTGGTACTTTACTCTCCCCAAAGTGAACTACCATTCTGAGAATCTGGCCAAGACAACAGTGCCCCGCTCTACCCTACCCCAAAAGAGTAGGTCAAGTTTCAGGGGGACACTTCTCAACACCTCAAGGACCAGTGTAATCTCCCAAATCTCAAATGACAAAGTCCTGTTGGCACCATGGTTAAAGTCCAGGTTGGTAAGCCACAGGTCAGAGCCTGTGGTGCCAACCCACCAGGCATTCTACAAGAGGAAGGTAAGGTGCCGATGAGTCCGTTCTGACCCATAGCAGGCCCGTGTACAACGCAACAAAATACCACGCCATCCTCCCTATGAGCCTTATGTTTGAACTTGTGGTTGCAGCACAGTGCCGATGCAGCTCAATGACAGTCTTCCTCCTTTTCCCAGCGAGGGCCTATGAGCAGGAAGCCGCTGGGCCAGTGTGGTTAGGTGGTCGGGAGGGCACTCCCCCTCCCCGCCCCCCAGAGTGCTTTGAACAGATGCAGGGCCTTAGTCGCTTGACCCCAAACACAAGATGAACAGCAGCAACAACAGGCTGGAACAACTCCATCTCTCAGTGAGCCACTCTGTACATGCACAGAGGCCACTTCAGACCTGTCCCTGTCCCAATACCCCCACCATCTGCTCCCTGAGGGTCAGCCTTCACATTAATCCAGCCCAGCGGCCCGGCTTCTGGAACACCACAGCTTTCTCTTTGATGTCTCTATTGGATGAAGCTAAGGATGAATCCCCTGCACGGTCGGTCAGGGCAGAGTTTACACACGGGAGACCAAACCTCATCAGTCAGCACAGCCACCCTACAGGAGGGAGCAGAACTGCCCTCGTGGGTTTCCATCTGCACCGGAGCAGGAGCCTCATCGTCCTCACTCGGAGCAGCTGGTAGGTTCAGGTAGAGAAGAGCAGAATCCCAGTGCTCTGAGGAGATGCCGTCCGGTGATATCCGGGTACCGGGATCAAGTCTGGATCTTCTCTACAGAGCCCTACTTTAGCTGAGTGGGTGCTGGGCAGACCTCCAGTGCAGGCAGAGCCAGACATTTATTAAGGTGCCTTCCATGCAGCGTAGGACCCTGCACTCACAGCTTGAACTCACTCCTTTTTTTCCAAGGGGGAAACCAAATTGTTTTAATTTTACTGAGCAGGCATTAATGCTGGCCCAATGCCACTGAATCACACACCCACTTTTACAAGAGTGTGACTGGGAAAAACAGACAACCAACACACAAACCAACTGATGACCCTGTCGGCAGAGAAGGAAGCAGCCTGTCTCGTCTTTCTAACACAGAGCAGCTGGTGGGCTCAAACTGCCCACCGTGTGGTCAGCAGCGGATCGCTTCAGCCACTGTGTCACCAGAGCTCAGGAGAGTGGGGATCTCCAGTGCCCCCCCCCCCACCCCCCATCGGATCAGAGAACAAAGATGTAAGCTGCACTCAGCCTGGAAGCCTGCACCACAGCTTCCCTATACTCTGATTACAGAGCCATGATCAGTTTAGGGGAGCCCTGGTGGCACCGGGGCGGAGCCCTGGGCAGGCCAACTGTGAGGGTCAGCAGTTCCAGCACCCCAGCTGCTATGCAGTAGAAAGATGAGTCCGGCTGTGGTATCCCACAAGGTGGTTGGTGTTAATTATTAGAGGTCTCTCCCTATACTACTCCCATTAACAAAAGGGTGCTGACTCTCCCCAGCCTCTACACTTCCTAAATGCTCAGCCATGTGCAGACGTGAGCCATTTCCTTTACATTTCCTCTGCCTGCTCCATCCACCCCTTTCACCAGGAGCTTAAGAGCAATTTGAAAAAAAGAAGAAAAAAAGAATAGCTACAATTTCCCCCAAGCAGCAAGCAAGCAATTTGCTGTGCCAATGCCTGGCCACTAGACTTGTGCACATGCTCTTTGGAAAATAACCCCAAAGTTGCTTTTAAAATGGGGGCCCTAGCCTGCACCCGTGCTGTCGCAGCCCAGGGAAACACACGGTGTGCAGTACCAGTTCTCCTTTATCGAGCCCCATGAAGAGCTCTCCTTAATTACTGAGTGCCAAATTAACTTTTAGATACATTGACAATAAAAAGCTGAAAAACAAACCAACAGACAAATACAAAGCAAAATAATAATAATGCCCCGATTTAGGATTAATTCTCCTGCCATGAGGGAGCACAAAAAAAGCCTTAGCAGAGAGCAGGTCAGAGGGGGACCTCTGCTGCCCCCGGGGGGGAGGGGGCAGCCTAGATGGCTTGCCGGCCTGGTAGGGCACGGCGCGGCACGGAGATCAATGGAAGGTTCTAGACTCGCATTTAAAGATTAACGATGCAGTATCAAAGGCTTAGCTGCCCCGGCTTTGCTGTGCCAAGACGCCAGGGGCGGACAGATGGGGACGCCGCGGGGAGCCCGAGGATAAAGCTCGCCCACCGTCTAGACGCGCGAAGAAACATCACGTCTGACGGACGCAGACCCCCAGGTCTCCAATCTCCAGACCCAGTACCCCAATTCCTTAAACCCCAATCTCCCAGACCCCGACCCCCGGGCAGCATTCCTCTAGACATCAATTCCCTAACCCCTTAGATCCTCACTCCCTGGACTGCAGGACCCCGATCCCCTAAACTAACACCCCAGACCCCGATCCCGGGACAGAAATTCCCTAGGTCCCCAATCCCTGAACTTCAGGGCCCCGATCCCCTAGATCCAAGCTCCTGGGTCCCGGTACCCCGCCCCCCATCCCTGGACCCCAGTACCCCGACCCATTCCCGGGCCCCCAAGGCTCCACTTACGGGGTGCAGCGGTCGCTGAACTCGTTGGCGATCGTCTCGATGCCCCCGGCGCGGGCCACCGCGATGTAGCAGCTCTGCGAGCCCACGTCCAGCCCCACCACCGACATGGCCGGTCGTGGTCTCTCCTCCCCGGATGCGCGGCCCCGTGGGTCCGGCGCGCACTCGCCGATGGACAGGCGGCCTGTCAGGGACCGGGGGCTCCCGGGCGGTCAGCGCGCAGGCCGCTCGGACTGGAAGGGACGGCCGCGCCGGGCGTCCGCGGGTCCTCGGAGCCGCCTTCTCCGTGCTGCTGCCCGCCGCTCGCTCCCGGCCCAGAAAGGGCGGTCCCTCAGCCTCCGTCTTAAGCGCCGCACTGGTGGGAACTTTCCAGAATCTGCGGCATTTACTCACCGGCGCCTCCGCCGGCCCACGTGCCACTTCCGCTTCCTTCTTCTGGAGCCTTCTCGAAAGATTCCAGCCAATGGGAGGCGGGCGCCCCGGAGGCCCGCCGCCGTTGCTATGGCAGCAGGGGAGCCGCTGCGGCGCCAGGAGTTGACGCAAGCCGCGCGGACCCACCTCCGGCCCCGCCCGCCCTAGCTGGAGGCGTTTGGCTGTCCTCACGAAAAAACAGGGAGGGGCCCCTAGAAAACTCGCCATACCCATCATTTATTAACGGACGGGGCCAACAGGGCGGCTGAGCGGGCAGAGACAGATCCTACCTCGGCAGGATCCCGAGACTCCGGGCACCGGCAAGGCCGAGCGGGTGCCGCAGAGCGTATCGGGAACTGTAGTCCCGACGGGAGGCTGCGCGCGCGGCATCCTGGGATGTGTAGTTCCGGTCGCGGTGCGCGCTGGGGCACGGCTTTGTCTTGGGGACTCGCCCTGCAGGCCGGGCTGGGTGGCGTGCAGGTGTGCGTGTTCTCTGGCGCCTGAGTTGCTGCTTTTATCTTCGCGTCTTTCAATAGCTAGGTGACCCCGCCAACTGGCGCGTGACGGCGCGGCGGGAGGAATGCTCCTAAGCCCCGCGTTCGTGGGAAGTGTTTCTGATTTCACGCCCCACGACCTTCCTTTGTAAGATAAATGACCCCTGTTGTGTTTGGTTTCGAGAGAGTGCCCTAGTCCACTCTCTTCCTGAGTTGGGCCCGTCTGGTGGGACCACGGCCAACAGAGAGCCTTAGTCTAGCCCTAAGAGGCCCTGGTGGCGCCGTGGGTTAGGCGCGGGGCTGCTAACCTGGAAGGTCCGTAGTTCGAACGCAGCCACTCCGCCGGAGGAAGATGACCGCCTACAGATCTGTAGCGTCGGAGATCTGCTCCGCCCTTGCAGGCTCGCTGAGAGCCCGCTTGATGGCTGGAGCCGGGGCAGTGAGTTTGATTTCTGGGAGTATGCTAGCCCCAGGCTGCCTCACTCCTGGCCATAAATTATTCAGTGACTTTCTGCTTGTTTTTGATCTGAAACAGCTTTGTGGTCCACCCCCCACAAGAGGGGAGTTTCTGCTTATTTTCAGTAAAAAACCAAGTAAACTAAAGATGCCAGTTCTAAGGAGATTCCGTGGTGGCCCCTTGACACAGGCTACTAAGCATTGGACTGCTAACTGCAAGGTCGGTGGTTCAAGACCAACAGCCCCTCAGTGGTAGGAAGATGAGGCTGGCTGCTCCCATAAAGATCGACTCCCTCAGAAAACCCATGTAGGGTGACCGTGAGTGGGAATCAAACCAATGAGTGGGGTTTGGGTTAAATAAGTTCTAGAAGGAACCTTGATCACACAGTGATAAAAGAGTTTGCTTGCTAACCAAAAAACAAAACAAAAACACTCCCAGCTGCTCCACGGGTGAAACGCCTGGGTATTTGCTCCCCTCACCCCCCCCCCCCAAGGAAACAAACCCCAAACTCTGCCATCGTGTCAGTTCCGACTGCCAGCAACCCTTAGATAGGGTTTTCCAAGAAAGGCCGTCTTCACTGCAGCAGACAGCCTCATCTTTATGCTGCAGGGCAGGTGGTGTCTCTGAACCTCTTACCCGCTGTGCCACCAGGGCTGCTTAGGTGTGTTACTCTCCTGCTTATTTATTTAAACGTTTTATTACAGGCACACTATCCACAGATCATACAACTCAATAGGTGGCTCACATTAAGAAGAGTTGTACAATCATGACCACACTTTGAGAACGTTTCTTGTATTCATGGTGACTGCCTCCCCATTTCCGCCCCAGCCTCCCCCGTCATGCCCCTGAGAAACCATTGGTGCAGGTGCTGTCTCTGTTGATTGACTGCTCACCTTCGAGTTAACCAGTTAACTTTCACTCTTAGAGGACCACACAAACAGGGTGGACGCTTTCAGGTTCAGGATGGGATTGAAGTCCTTGTCACCTGCATTCCTTTCAAACAGGCACAATTTCTCACAGGGTTGCTAACGCAGAGTCCAAAATTCTCGAAGGAATTGTAAGCCTGTTTTTAAAAATCCCATGGGCATCATTAAGTATGCACCCAAACAAGCAGATACGCGTGATGCACATCAGAACCCGCGCCAAAGCCGCTGCCTTCAATTGAGTCCACTCCGACTCGAAACGGCCCTCGCGGAGTTTCCGAAATCCATCGCCACAGGAGGAGGGCGCCTCAGCTGGTTTGAACCCCTGACCTCACGATGGGCAGTGAAGTGCCTCCCCCCCAGCACCACCAGGCCTCCTATGGTAAGCAGTCCCTTCCAAGGCCTTCCTGTTGTTATGGCAACAGAATGAAACCAGCTCCATCCACACCATCCTCGATTGTGCTCCTCTTGGAGCCCATGGTTGCAGCCGCCATGTTGGGGCATCTCCCCGAGGTTCTTCCTCGTTGCCGCGTGTGAGGGCCTCCTCCAGGACCGATCCCCCTGACAACGTGTCCTAAGGAGGTGAGCTGGAGTCTCGCCATGCTAGCCCCTAAGGAGCATTCCGGCTGTGCTTCCCAGACGGACCCGCTTCCTCTGTGGGCCACCTGGGCCGCTTTCAATATTCTTCTCCGGCACTAATGTTCAGATTTCTACTCGTGACGACCCTGTGTAGGAGTTCTGAAGAGCTCGGGGGTACAGTGGGTCATGCCCGGGCTGCCACCCACAGGATCAACAGTTCAAAGCACTGGCCTCTCCCAGGGAGAAAGACGAGGCTTTCTACAGCCGTAAAGAGGGACAGTCTGGGAAACCCACAGGGGCAGTTCTACCCTGTCCTGCAGGGTCGCTATGGGTTGACACCGACTGGGACACCGGGCTGTGTGTGTATCAGCGGTTCTCACCCTTCCTCACGCCGCGACCCTTCCCTACAGTTCCTCAGGTGGTGATCAACCACAACATTATTTTCATTGCTACTTCATCACGGCCATGTTGCTACTGTGATGAATTGGGCGGCCCCTGTGAAAGGGTCGTTCCACACCCCCCCCAGGGGGTCACGGCCCACAGATTGAGAACCGCTGTGGTATAGGGTTTCTGAGGGTGTTGATAGTTTATGGGAGCAGACAGTTTCATCTTGCTCCAAGGAGTGAGCGGGCCGGTGGTTTCGAACCGCTGACCAACATGTGCACGCATGGCTGATAGAAGCCACTCGAGTCCGCCCAGAGGTGCCTCGGAAGAAAGGCCTGGCTGCTTCCGAAGTCAGCCCTTGAAAACCCCACAGAGTGAGAGCCTCCACCTGCTTCACAACCGAGAGCAAACAACCAGCCTTCCTTGCTCGTGAAAGAGGGGAGGGGCCGGCATGCAAGGACTCCCCGAGCAGCCCCGTGCTGCTCCACTGGCACCCCTCCCAGCCGGCCTGTGTGGAGAGCAGCAGCAGCACCCAAGATCCCCGTCGTGGGGTCTGCTGCTGTCTCTTCCTCTGGCGGGCCGGGGCCTCACCCCCGCCTTCACGGCTCTCCACGGCTGCTCTGCCAACGTCTCTCCCTCTGGGATCGGATCGGAAAAACACGGAGCAGCTTGCGTAGGGAACTCTGCGTTGGGGCCGTCCTGGCACTGGGGGTGTGGGTGGGAATCACAGCCTTTCCCACGTTTGTGGCTGCGAGGAGCTCCCTCCTCCCCAAACACACATGTGACAATGAAAAACATCGGGCGTGGATTGTGGAGACGACTCTCAGTGGAAACCCCTGATGGCGATACCCCTTCAAACCGAATCGTGATGCTTGTCCAGACCCTCTGGGATAGGGGGGAAATTCCCTTGTGGGCTTCCCAGACAGTCAGTTGTCAGTCGTTGCGGGAGCAGCGAGCCTCCTGTTTCTCCCACGATGCAGCTGCAGGAGCTGAGCATGTAACCCACGTGTAACTCATGTGGCAGCCAGTGTAACCCACGAAGTTACCAGCATGCCCCTCTCTCCTCAGGTCAGGTCGCCACGTGAAGAGGGCTTCTGAGAGTATTTCCAGTTCCATCTCGGCCTGAGTCTCTGGGGGTCCCACCCTCCGGCCTGGCTGCAGGAAATGCCTGGTGGTTGGGGTTGGAGAACCAGCGGCACTGCCTCTCTGGAATACTGCAGGGGGCGGGGGTGGGGGGTGTCAGGGGAGCCGTCTTGAAGGCCTGGCCTGGTTCATGCACCAAGTGCGACCTAGGCCCCCACCCTGTTCCTTCAGCACTGGAAATTTCCCCAGGTCAGACCAGGGTGCCTCTTCAGGGGTGGAATTCCCCGGGAGAAAGGCATTATGCACACAGAGGAGTTGAGTCAGAGATCATTATCAAGAAAGGGGGAAAAAACCAAACCACCCCACCTTTTTGACTGACGGCTGAGGGGGGGAGGACTAAGTGGACGGTGGAAGATTCCAGGGAGGTGAGGGTGAAGCAGAGGTCAGCAGGACTGTGTTCGCATTCCAGCTCTGTCCCGCGTGGACGGGGACGCCCGTGGGGCACAGCGAAGCTTCCAAAGCTCTGCGTGTTCCTCTTCAAAGTGTGGGCGCCCCGTCCTTGAATCAACCAGCCTGCCCATGTTGCTGGAGGGCCTTCTCCAGGCCACCGGCTTGGACCTCCTGCTCCCAGTCCCATGGCAGCGCGGTGAGCCTCGGCGCTTGGAGTTTCAGCACCCGGGGCTCCTGGCTTCCTGATGCTTTGCGCCAACTGTGGGGCCCGAGACTGAGCTAGGAAGATGAGAACAGCCTTCAGCCCGGAGAAGGACGTCCTGCTTGGTCCAGCCTCTGGAGGGTCAGTGGACAAGAGGAAGACCCTCAAGGAGTTGGACTGACACAGTGGCTGCAGCCGGGGGG